CCAACAAGGTTATAATTTATAATTAAAGGAGAAATAAAGAGCTTCCCAGACAAAAAAAACAAAAACATAAGCTGAAAGAGTTCACCATCATCAACCCAGTGTTACAAGAAATGATTAAGGGATTTCTTAAAAAAGAAAATATTAAAAGGATGAATAAGAAAATATTGTAATAAATAATATTCACAGTGACAAAGGTAAACACATAATAAAACCAGTGAATCAACCAACAATAAAGTTATTAAAAAGTTTAAAAAGCAAAAGTTGGAAGATCATGTGTAACTACAATAATAAATTAAGGAATATATACAAACACACACAAACAAAAGCTGCAAAAAAAATGACAAAAAATGTAAACATGGAGGGAGTAAAGTGGTAGTGATTTTAGTGTTCCAACTTAAAGCGACCATCAACTTATAACAGAGTGCTATAGACATAGGTTGGTATGTATGAAGCACATGGTAACAACCACAAACCAAAAATCTACATAAGATAGACAATAAATAAAGAGAAATAAACCCAAACACTACAGAAAGTCATTAACATACAAGAGAATAAGAAAGGGAGAACTATAAAACAATCAGAAAACAATAAATAAAGTGGCAATAACTATATACCTATCAATAATCACATTAAATGTAAAAGGATTAAATGCTCCAATAAAAAGACAAATGGATAAATAAGAGGTGGTACATATATACAATGGAATGTCACTTAGCTATGAAAAAGAGTATTTTATCATTTGTGACAAAAGAGGTGGACCTAAAGGGTATTATGCTAAGTGAAAAAAATCAGAGAGAGGAAGACAAATACCCTATAATTTCACTTATATGTGGAATCTAAAAAAACAAATAAATGGATAAACAAAACAGAAACAAACTGTAAGATACAGAAAACAGACTGATGGTTGCCAAGTGGGAGGGGTGGGGGAACTGAGTGTAATAGATAAAGGGATTAAGAAGTACTAATTGGCAGTCACAATATAGTCACAGTGATGTAAAGTACAGCTTAGGAAATATAGTCAGTAATTGTAATAACTACATATGGAGTCAGGTAGGTGTAGAATTTATCAGGGGATCACTCTGTAAGTTATATAAACATCTAACCACTGTGCAGTGTACCTGAAACTAATATAATATTAAATATCACAAAAAGTGACTCCCTGAAATTTAATCCCATTTCCAGTATATTTTTTTATTTCTTTTGCCTTCTTTTCTCATCCTTCCTTAATTATCTCTCCCATTACTCCACGAGTTGTTCACGTCTTTGTGCCCTAACAGACAAAAACATTACTTACTTAGGGGTTTCTAAATAAATATTGATTAAACATTAGTAAAAAACTTTAGTGCAATCAATCAGTATTCACTCTCTTAAATGTACCTTAGTTTACAAATGATCAATTCTCAAACAAGTGCTGTTTCTTTGAACATCATCCATGTCTAAAATAAACATTCTATATACCATTCAAGGGTGTAAGTCTGATTATTTGCATAAGCTCCAGCTTTGGGATAGCTATTGCACTTTCAACAAAGAAATAATGTTTCCATAACTGTAAACTGGCAAATATTTCATATATATATCCCATTTAGGAAATAAAATAATTGTCTGAGTTTGTGTAAAATCCATGATTATTAATTTCTGAATTGCTCTTTTTCTTTTAATTCATAATTTGCTGTTTGTGTGAACTTTCAGTTCATTTAAAATCTCCATTTCTTCATTGCTCAACCATGCAATACATAGACAGCAGCTATATTAATAACCCTCAAAGGTGCAATGCACTGATACTGCTATTTATGCTGCTGTCTGGAGAAAAGCATATTTATTCTGTTCAAGTATCCATGAGACATGAAAACTATTCTTTGTTCAGTCTCACAGTAGACAGTCATTTCAAAACTTCAATTACTATTTCAGCATGTTCCCTCCATTACTGTTTCCAGCACCACAACCAGTAATTTCTAATCGCAAAATGTACTTTATAAACCATACACCCATGTGCCTTGCATGCAATGAGGAAACAAAGCTATGTATAAATGCTTAATATCTGCAGAAAAAGGTAAAATTTAGATGAAATAATGTCAATATAAAATCTTGAACATGCACATTTTATACCTCCCAGCTAATGATGGATGACTACTGAATGAATGAAAAAAATATATGTATATATTTCATCTATCTTGGAATTGAAGAACAATAATAATACATTAGTATTCAACAAATATTTCTTGAGATTTATGTCAGTACAGAGCTGTTCTTTGTGATATAGAGTTTATAAAATAAAGTAACATATTTCTGTCTTTGAACAATTTACAATTGTAATAAATATTATCCATTATTTTTATTGAAATGAGAGAATTGAATGAAAAAAAGATGGTTTATAGTCTCAATCTTACTTTATGTAGACTTTAAGTTTCATTATCTAGCTATAACTTCTCTTCTTGTCTGAGATTTTGTTTATGCATTAACATTAGTCTTTCTTGAATCTATCCTCTATTTTCCCATTCTTTTTGCCACCAAAAAATACACACAGTCAGTGAAGCAGAAAACATGGATTGCACGATTCTGAAAACATCATTTTCAATATATTGTCCCTTATAACTATATTTTGTCTTAATTGGAGGACACCATCAAAAATCAACCTTATGCAACTTACTGTTCTATTCATTGTCAGAATATTGATGAAAGTAATTCTTGTAACACTTATTTACTCAGTGTTCACTTTATAAAGAACAAGGCAAGACATTTCAGACCCCAAATCCAGGAAAAAGTTTGCTTTTGCTGTATCATTGTTATACTTGTATTTCATGTACAATCGTTTTCATATAAACTGATAAGGTTTTCCTATTGGTTTGGCAGCTCTCATATTTGTCTAATATGCAAAGCATTCTTTTTTTAAAATTGATTTTTAGAGAGAGAGATTGATGTGAAAGAGAAACATCAATTGGCTGCCTCCTGCACATGCCCCAATGGGGGGTTGAACCCTCAACCTTTCGGTGCACAGAATGATGTTCCAACCAACTGAGCTGCCTCTAGGGCTGTAAAGAATTCTCAAAAGCTGTCTACAAACTTGTACATAAACTTTTGTGACTATTTTGCTCATTTTTTTTATTATCTCTATTTCAATATTTATTTATTTTTAATGCTATCACACTATATATCATTTTGTAAGCCTTTCAAAATTAGATGATTAATGAATAAACCTCTACCTGTGACTGGAAAGTTTTATGTGAACCTGAGAAAAATCTAGATTCTTTTTCTTTCTCTGGGTTGTCATTGTCAATTGAGTGGAATATACCCGTGGCTTCCATTTGATCATTTTCTATTTCCTCTTTTATGTTCCCAAATCCCCCTTCTCTCTCCATTCCATAGATAACCTTATTAAAGACTCTGCCATTTTCTAGGCGTTTGAACTTTGGAAAGTAACTGAATCTATGCTTTATATTCCTCATTTCTAAAATGGACATGAAAATGCCTCCATCAGTTTGTTTTGAGGACTAAATGAAATGAGGTGTACGCAGTGTTTTGAGGATTAAATGAGATGAGGTGTACGCAGTGTTTTGAGGATTAAATGAGATGAGGTGTACGCAGTGTTTTGAGGATTAAATGAGATGAGGTGTACGCAGTGTTTTGAGGATTAAATGAGATGAGGTGTACGCAGTGTTTTGAGGATTAAATGAGATGAGGTGTACGCAGTGTTTTGAGGATTAAATGAGATGAGGTGTATGCAGTATTTTGGGGATTAAATAAAATGAGGTGTATGCAGTGTTTTGAGGATTAAATGAGATGCAGTGTATGTGGTGTTTTGGGGATTAAATGAGATGCAGTGTTTACAGTGTTTTGGGGATTACATGAGATGAGGTGTACGCAGTGTTTTGAGGATTAAATGAGATGCAGTGTATGCAGTGTTTGGGGGATTAAATGAGATGCAGTGTATGCAGTGTTTGGGGGATTAACTGAGATGCAGTGTATGCAGTGTTTTGAGGATTAAATGAGATGAGGTGTACGCAGTGGCTAACAGTGCCTGGCACATAGAAAGTGCCGGTATTGTAGTAACAATGGATAATCTCCTATACAACCTGATCTTTTAGTTCCTTCACACTTGGAACAGCAGGAGATCTTTCCAGCCTCACAGGCACGGACATCGTTCTTTGACTCTATCTCGTCACTCCCTCCATTCCTACCTAGCCACTTGTTAAATTGTCCTTTTCTCTTCACAGTAGCTCTCAAATGTGTCCCTTCTCTATTCCTCTGGCATCACCCTTTTCCATCCCAGAGTAACCTGCAGGGTGTGGTGAATCCCTGAAAATGTTTGCTGAGGCAGAAGAAGAGCTAAGAGCACTGAAATATGCAGAGATGCCATCACTGCCAATACTAACAGCAAATAAGCAATCAAGAGTGCCAGGAGGCTAGGATGAGGTGTCCATTTTCAAACACAGCTTTATAAAGTTTAGGGAAAAAGGAAGGTTTCATTTAATTTAGGTGGAAATATTTAACTTGCAGAAAGGTTGTAGGAGTAAATCTTATCTGCAATTACTGGTAACACCAAAGCTAGAATATTCATTATTTGTCTTACATTAAATCAACTACAGGACCTGTGCTCCACGTCCACTGCCACCAACATCACTGCGATTGGACACCCAAGCAATTAAAATGGCAAATCGTACATGTGAAGGCAGAATATGGTTAAAATATTCCTATCATCCATATCAATGCCTATACAGGGTAATTTTTTATTTTTTTAAAAAAGGCTAACAAAGTTACCAGTGCTCTGGATTACATACTTTATGCTCTAATCTGTTGCTATGTGATTATTAGATTGCAATCCTAACACCGTGGTTCCCATATTATAGATTTTCAATAAATATTGTTCAATACATGAGGTAAATGTTTGCCTAAGGACTGCATTACACCTCAAAGTTTGAACTAAAATTTATACTCAATAGAACAAAGTTCAAACTATTAAAACCTGTGAAGAGAACACTTTTATTGGAAAGACTTTTCATTACCTTTACATACAGGCCTGTGATCACTCCAAGCAGCAAAGACTTCCGCTATTCGTTGGCAGGTGATGCTCTTAGCACCCTGCAGGACATAATCTTCATCACACGAAAACTGCACAGTGGATCCAAGGCTAAAATTGAACCAAGGATTAAAAAGCAGGATTAGAAGCATATAACTTAATGATCAGGCTCCAGGTCTACTAACAATATCCAATAGATCAAACATGTCCCAGAGTGACACAGTATCTTTCTACTGTGGAAACAAAGTAGAAAAGAATGACTTGAGCAAATGTCTAATAAAAGTCATAAACAGGTTAATCTATTGTAAATCAATAATATGCAAATATGTGTAGGGACTGTATAAAACTGTCGTCAAGTTTAATTATTTTATCAGTTGTAGAAGCCACGATTAAATGGTTGAGTGAGTGTCCCATCCTAAGTAGGTAGAAAATGTGAACCAAAAAGTAGACTTTCTAACTTCAACCCCAGTGTTGTGTTCATACCACATTACAGTACTCCTCCAGCAGGTATTTGTGTGTGCATGTTGATTTGGATATTTGCACATCCATGTCTATATGTATATGTTTACATATATTTAGGGCTGCAAAATTGTGTGGATTATTTATATAAAATTAACCCACCCTTTATTATTTACCCAACTACAATTTGGATTTTGCTTCCCTTTCCACTCAAGTGAAGTTACTAAAATGATCATTTTTAAAAGCCCTAATTGCTAACTGTAACAAATGCTTCTCTGAAATAAAAAAAAAACTCACCATGTACTTTCTTTTATAAAATCCTTAAACAGCAACTCACCAGCAAAATATATATACATAAAGTCCAATTTCGTTAAAATGACATAAAGAGCCTTCCAGCAATTAAGTCCCGGGCAACTTCCACACCTGATCTCCAGCCCAGCGCCACACATGATGAACACTTCTAGCAGCTGCCAATTTCTGACTGCCAGGCTGCTTTCTGCCGGCACTGCTCCCCCCGAGCCTTCCTGCCTGGAGGGCCTACCTGCACCCCCTCACCCAACCTGTTCCTGAACAGCTCCTGCAGTTCCCTGATCTTGTCAGAACTACAGGATCACATTTGTGTTGTAAGAAAATGTCTCTGAACAATGTGGAGAACAATGGAAAAGGAAGACTCATAGAGGAAGGGAGGCCAGTAAAAAAATAGGACTCAGTTTAGGCCAAAGGTTGGCAAACCTTGTCCTGCAGGCCAACTCTGGTCCACTGCCTGTTTTTGCACAGCCTAGGAGCTAAAGGTAGTCTTCATACTTGGAAGCATTTGAAAAACATCACAAAAAGAATATTGTTTTATGAAGTGTAAATATTACATCAAATTCACATGCAGATGTCCACAGATAAAATTTTATTGGGCCCTGGCTAGTGTTGCCCAGTGGTTGGAGAATGAGAACCCAAGAGTTGTGGTTTAGATTCCTGGTCAAGGGCACATACCTGGGTTGCAGCTTCAACACCCGGCCCAGGTCAGGGTGTGTGCCAGAGGCAACCAATCGATGTGCCTCTCTCACATCAATGTTTCTCTCTCCCTCTTTCACCCCCTCCATCCCTCACTTCCACTCTGTCTAAAAAGTCAATGGAAAAAATATCCTCAGGTGAGGATTAATAAAAAAAATTTTACTAGAACACAGCCATCCTCGTCCACTGACAGATCTATGGCTGTTTTCATGCTACATCGTTCAAGTTGAAGAGATGCAACGGAGAAACTTTGGCCTACAAAGTATAAAATATTTACTATCTAACGCTTTAAAGAAAAAGTTGACCATCCTCTGTCATAGGCTAGAGATGACAAAAGACCTGAAGGGGTTGCATGGCAAAGAATGGAAAGGTTTAGTATAGGGGAACATCCAGAAATTACAATCTATTCTCCACTGGAGTTATTATCTTTCTCTCTCTTTCTTTTTAAAAGTGGTATTACTTTCAATATAAAACGAATCCATAAACGTGTACAAAACAAAATACACAGCTCACTGAATTATAATGAATTAAACACCCGTATATCTAGAAATAGATTATCTTGCACGTCTTAATGACTCCACGCTTTATGCAGATGACCCTGTAGCCTGAGCAGCCTTAAAATTTTACTTAAAGGTGAATTCTCCACCTTTCCTTACTTCCCCAACTCAGTAAATGGAAACTCCATCCTTCTAGTTGAAGGCCAAAAACTGTGAAGTCGATGTTGACTCATCTTTTTCTCTTACTTTTCATATCCACCCCCATGGAGCAAATCCTGTTAGCAACACTTTCAAAATCAAGAATCCATCATTTCTCACTCCCAACAGTGTCGATCTGAGCTACCACGATTTCTAATCCATGTCATTGCCAATAGTCCCTTGCTAAGTGTTAGTTTCCTGTTTCTGTTCTTGACTCCTTGCAGTCTATCCTTAGCATCCATGGCAAGCTTTCTTAGAAAATGGCTCAAATCAGGCCATTCCTATGCCTCGACCCTTCTAATGCTTCCCCATTTCACTCCTTTCTCCTTCGATCTCGGTTCTTTAGCTACACTCACTTCCTTGCTCAGGCTTGAACATGTGAAGGACGCACTTGCCTCGGGGTCTCTACATTGCTCTTCCATCATTCTGCAAAATGGTCATCAGAAGTCCCATCTGTCACATCCTCATTCTGGTTGTTCTTCACGTCACCTTATTGATGCGGTCCTCCTGGACTATTCTCAATAAAACAGCTCCTCCTATTCAGGAACCTTCTCCCATGTTATTTCCTTTACACCACCTGATACATTGTGCATCTCTCATCCTCCGAGAAAAACTCAGGGCGCTTATCAATTTCATTTCCCAACCTGTAAAATACACCCTAGTATACAGTAAACTATTTTATATATACAATTTTTAGAGTAAATAAATGCTCTTTAATAATATATATAATAGGGATTTCCAGTCCAGATGGTGGGTAGGTAAACGCGGTATCACGTCCTCCCACAACCACATCAAAGTTACAACTAAACTACAGAACAACCATCATTTTAAACCACCTGACCTCCAGCTGAATGGCAGTCCTACAACTACGGAATTACAGCAGCAGCCACACCGAGACTGGTAGGAGGGCGGAGGGGACGGGCTGGGCCCACACCCACGTGTGGCGCATAAAAATCAGGAGGACACCTCGGCTGGGAAGGTCCTCCCTGAGGACTGAGGGGTCCCCGTCCCACACCAGGTGCCCCGCTCAGGGTTCCAGTGCCAGGAAGAGAATCCCCATCACTTCTGGCTGGGAAAACCAGCGGGAACTGAGGCTCACGGAGGCTGAGGCGGCTGGAGCCCAGGCAGCTCCTTAAAGGGCCTGCGCACGGACTTATCGGACTCTCTCCCTCTGAGCTCAGAGGGGAGGCAGCTCGAGGGGCGCCAGAGACACACAGGTAAGAACTGAGCTGTATGGCACTGGAGCGAGGGCTGGAGAGGGGGCTTTCTCGGGGACAAACGTGCTATCAGAGGCCTTTGTTCCTTTGGTGAGCCCTTCCCTGGGGCGGCAGACAGTCCTCATATCTGGGACTCCAGCAACCTGGCTCACACTGGTAGCCCCGCCCTGCTGACTCCCTGAGGCCCCGCCCCACCCAGCTTTCAGGCCCACCCAAGCTGTTGCCAGTTGCTTAACCATAGGATTGGCCTGTCTTGGATCCTGCTTCAGGTTTTTCCTAAATTCTTTCAAATGAGCAGCATCTGGTCTCAGATAGCCCCATACTGCTTATTAAGTAATACACAGAAACAAACACAGGGAGGCAGCCAAAATGAGGAGACAATGAAACAGGTTCCAAATGAAAGAACAGAACAAAACCCCCAAAAAAGAACTAAGCAAAATGGAGATAAGCAACCTAACAGATGCTGAGTTCAAAATACTGCTTATAAGGATGCTCAATGAACTTAGTGAGAACCTCAAGAGCATTAAAAAAAAAAAAAAACAGTCAGAAATGATGGATGCACAGTCAGAATTGAAGGAGGCATTAACTGAAATAAAGAATAATTTACATAGCTTCAATAATAGAGTACGTAAATCCAAGGAGCAAACCATCGATTTGGAATATAAGGAAGCAAAAAACGCCAAATCAGAACAGCAAAAAGAAAAAAGAACCCCAAAAAAAACGAGGATAGTGTAAGGAGCCTCTAGGACAACTTCAAGCGTGCCAACATCCGCATCTTGGGGGTGCCAGAAGGAGAAGAGCGAGAACAAGAAATTGAAAGCCTGTTTGAAACAATAATGGCAGAAAACTTTCCTAACTTGGTGAAGGAAACAGACATACAAGTCCAGGAAGCACAGAGAGTCCCAAACAAGATGAAACCCAAGAGGCACACACCAAGACACATCATCATCAAAATGCAAAAGGTTCAAGACAAAGAGAGAATCTTTTTTTTTTTTTTTTATCCTCGCCCGAGGACATTTTCCCATTTTTTGTTCAGATAGAGCAGGAGGGAGAGAGAAGAAGAGAGAGAGAGAGAGAGAAACATCGACGTGAAGGGACACATCGAGTGGCTGCCACCCGCACGACCAACCAGGGCAGAGGACAAACTGCAACCGAAGTACGTGCCCTTAGCGGGAACCGAACCCGGGTCTCTCTGTACCGCAGGCCGACGCTCCAACCGCTGAGCCAAACCGGCCAGGGCCAAAGAGAGAATCTTAAAAGCAGCAAGAGAAAGGCAGCTAGTTACCTACAAGGGAGTTCCCATACGGCTGTCAGCTGATTTCTCAAAAGAAACTTTGCAGGCCAGGAGGGAGTGGCAAGAAATATTCAGAGTGATGAAAACCAAGAACCTACAACCAAGATTACTCTATCCTGCAAAGCTGTCATTTAGAATCGATGGCCATATAAACACTTTCCCAGACAAGAAAAAGCTAAAGGAATTCATCACCACCAAATCATTATTATAGGAAATGATTAAGGGTCTTATTGAAGAAAAAGATAAAATATATGAACAAACAAAATGGCATTGAATACATATCTATCGACAATGGAATCTACAAACAAAATGACCAGGCAGAACAGAAACATTCTCATAGATACAGAGAACATTTTGTTGGTTGCCAAATGGGAGGGGGGTTGGGGGAATGGGTGAAAAAGGTGAAGGGATTAAGAAGTACAAATTCATTGCTAGGCTGAC